CGTTTTGTAAATACTCCATTTGTGTAGAGCAACATTTTTGAACAAAACTAGACGCCACCGAGCTCTCCATGACTCCAACTTTATTCGCTCTTGACAATGGTCGTAGTAACGTGCCGAAAGCTCGAGTAATAAAAGAAAAATTCAGCAGAATTTTCAAGATGTACTTTATCGCAGTATTATACTCATTGATCAAAATTTTATTACCAACTGCGTCTTCTCGGAATTTTTACATTCAATTTATGAAGGCCCCTTGATCGTTTTTACTATCATTTTTGCTCTTTTTCTAGCGATTTTGCTGATTTTGACGCAGAGGGGCCTTTCGTGAAAAAACGTCATGGAGAGCTCGGTGGCGTCTAGTTTTGTTCAAAAATGTTGCTCTACACAAATGGAGTATTTACAAAACGTTTTCGTTGGAATCCCGGGACTTGGATGTTTTGGGGTTTCGAAAATCTTGGTTTTCCAGGGATCTGGTTTGCAGGAATTTTAACGGAATTTTCATATACACCTCAACTGTTTATAAATTCTTCCGGCTGTTCAAATCTTTTTTACATTTGTTCTAGCTATTATGGTCGAGGAGAAAAATTAAAAACAAAAGTTGCCATAAACTTTTGTCCGCCACTTTAGTCAGCCTATATTTCTCTGTCTCCCAATCCTCTATACGCACAGGAGTGTGAAAGTGCACCGTGAGTTACAACAAGCTAACGTTCCTTCGATGCATGTTTCGGAAGACCTTTACGTCTATCTCTGTGTTTTGGTTCTCTGCCGTAGTACCTAGGAGTCTCATACTGTTTCGTGTAAGAATATCTCACTCAGAAGTAGTAATCGCAGCTAGCGAGTTCATGGACAGCCATTTTCTGTTTCGACAACGCCACTTTTCCCTAAGAACCTAATGTATTCACGGTCATTGGACACTTGAAACACCAAGAAAAGAAAACAGAAAAGAATTATATTTCTGAGAATAATTGACTATGAATTCCCTCTTGAGAACAATAATTCCTTTATATCACTAGTATCTTTTGTCAGCTGTTATTTGACAAGTTAATGAGAAAATAGACATTTTCTGCAATTCTAGAGAGAACAGATCTAGAAGCGCACTTTTAAAAAGATCGTCTCAGCAATAGAGTTTCTTCTATAGACAATTACCATTCCAAAGTCAAAACTTTTGGTAAAAGAATTATTTCATATTTCTATTAATACATTGCAGTTCTGAACTGTCTGTCTGATCAAAAGACACACAACAGTATCTATAAAGTTACGTTTGAAACAAAACTCCTTCGTTCGTTATTCCACTATCTACATTATGTCCTTGCTTCTGTTCTTTAAATAATCCTGCCATTTTGAAAGTGTATGTAATTGTAAAACCCTGCAAGGAATAAAAAACCGAGCAAGTCCAAGTTCTTCTGTCATCAGCACTCCTACATACCAATACAATTGCAAGTATCGTACATCCTCCAAACAGAATTCCACTTAACCAAGCCCGATCCTCTAGGTAAGAAAATCTATAAGGCGAACGAGTATCATGGTGAGCATGATGAATTTGAATTAGACTGATAACGAATGTAATTAAGAGGAATACGACAGTTAGACAGAGAATTATAAAATCAATAAAACCAAGCCAACCAATCTATAAGAGTAAAGACTTGAAATGCATAAGTATATGAGCAAAAAGTCTTACCACTAAGAGACCAGTTCGAAATTGTTTACAGATCATGATCAATGCAACAATACAATAAGCCAAATGATACGTATCTAGTAGCAATAGTGTGAGTGGTGAGAAAAGACTCTTTGAGTTGGAATGCTAACACTCACTTGGTGCAAGAATATCTCGTAAAATCAATAAAATAATCATGAGATCTTTTTCGGTTAAATTATCTTGTATTTTAATATAGACAACCATCATACCTATGTATGCTAGTGTGCATAATCCCTAGAAAAGAAGAGTCGAACCTGCTTTCAAGATCTTGCTGAAGTTTAGACACTTACTAATTGTATCGAAAATAGTGTAATGACAATTCTACGTGTTCTATTTAACAGTGACATTTGGAGTTGTCTTCGATTTGTAGTAATTTGATGGTTTACAGCTGATGATGGCAGTAACTGAGGTGTTACGCTGTCATTTTCAGTGTCGTTATAATGATCATCATCAGGTATCATGGAAATTTTTTCTGTACTAGCTGTGTATTCCATGTTGTTTTGCGTCAGTTTGTTAGTGTAACAGGATGTGTCTTGTGTCGATCGAGGATGAGAAGAAGATAAAAGTATATATATATATGATTATTTTTTCTTGTTTTTCTTATGGAACCTGAACGTCGAATTATCTCTCGTCACAAGATATTTTTGCTTTTCTTTCTTTCTTCTATTATGAAACAGAAAGTTAAGTCAAATTATACTGAATGGGAGCGGAATAGAAGTAGATGTTTTGTAAAGACGAAATGAAACTCTCAAACGCATGACTAATAGTTGCCAGTGTCAACTCAACCTTCTGTTCAAATTGAGAGAAATAATTTTGGAAGAAAAACAACGATATTACTGCCATCAACTATACAAACTCCCACTGTCTTGACGTTTGAGTTTTGATCGGATCAAACTCAGTATTCTACGTTCAAAAATCTGAAATGGTTTTTTTAATGCGAAAAAAAATGTGTGCTAACTTTCCCCCACTTGTTACCGCAGAATCAAAAAATCTTTCTCTCGATTCTTGAAGAGCTTAGTCAGCAAAAATATTTCTCCATCGTACTTCGTTGAGCCAACCTGTGGCAAGACTTTTAAAAATACTGATTTTCTGCAAAATCGACATTTCAAGAAAAAGCAAAATTTTTGTTAACCAAACAAAAAAGCTTCATTCAAAGTTCACAATAATTTCAGCATATAGGCACTTTAATCTCGCTGGTCAATCGGAGTCAGATCTTCTTTAATGAACAGTGAACTTTTTTAAAAAAACCTCTTAAATTTCTGTCAGTTTTCAAAAAGCCATAAGAAACTGCGAAGAATGTGTCTGCGAGGTGCAAACGCTTTACCATGTACGTCAACTGACATGGTTAACAAAATGATGTAAAAAATCAGGAAGTCCGTTATACAACTTTTAAGGAATAAAGCAGACAGAAGAAAATACTCTTTTTCTTCTTTCTGTAGAGAACGAGAGAAAAGAACGAAAACACGGTACGTTCTTTTTTGTATCATTTGAGACAAAAATAAAGAAAATAAAACAAGATCAAGGAAATGCTTCTGAAGATGTAGCTTCTCAAAAAACATGGATGCGTTTCACTGTCGAGTTTCCAGTGTTAAAAGTGTTTTCAAAAGCCGTTATACTCTTGTGGAATGAAACAAAAATACCTTTTTCGAATCGCTTGGAAAAGCAGTAAACAGAGATAGAGAGTAAAATATGTTAAAACAAGAAACAGAAATACTTCGTGTTTCAAAAATAATTAGTTGTTTCTGGTGATCGTACGGTTCGATTGTGCCAATCACAATGACTTACGATGGAACCTTTCAAGGTGTCCAACTCCGTTTGAATTTGGATTTTTGCTGATAGATAGGGCAGATGAGTGTCAGAAAAAGCCTAAAAAGATTTGGCGAGTCCTTCACTAGTTACGGTTGATTTAATGAAATTCAAGCTTTTGGTATTTGTAGTGTTTCATATGAAAGCTGATTTGAAGCTCTTTGCGATTTTGGCCGATTTTAATCGATTCTGTCACTTAAAATCGCTTAAGCAAGAATTGATTTTCAGTCATTTTGGTACCCAAAATCAACTTTTCCCCCCTTGGTCTAGGTCATGAAAATGATACAGCGTAGGTAATCGACTATGGCAAGTCAGAAAATGGCTATGAAAGACCTCTACAAGGGGGAAAAAGCTGATTTTAATGACTGAAAATCGATTCTTGCCTAATCGATTTTGAGTGACAGAGTCGGCCAAAATCGATTTTGAGCCACAGAATCGTTTGAAATCGATTACAGGGGTCCGAAATCGATTAAAATCGCTCGAAATTGGTCAAAATCGAAAAGAGCTCCAAACCAGCTTTTCCCCCCTTGGGTACTTCCGCACGGGTCCACCCACTTTATACACGATTTAAAACCGGGAGGGTTTGACTATTTGCAATCGATAGTCCTACTAAAGGTGCGTAAAGACCCCTGTCGCCCCATGCAAAAATTATTCCGAACATGGTTTTTCCGCGGCCATAAGTTCTGAATTGAAACATTTTTAGGGATGCCCGAGTAGCGAAATTTGACTTTGGTTTAAACTATTTATTATGATAAAAAACAAGGGGTGCTAGAAAGATACATTTGAATCAATGTGCTAGGTGTGTGTTGCATGTCAAAGCGTGGTGATGCTTTTATGAATTCTATAACCATTGAATAAATAGATATGAACTGCTCGCGCTCTAGTTTACATTTTAAGAGAAGTAAATTTATGGTTGTTTTTTGGTTACTTGGCATCAAGTAACCAACTTTCTTTAACAGTATATTTCGACAAGGTGTATACTGATGACAGATAAAGAAGAAATGATCAAGCGTTTCAATCGAACCGCATATACAGCGATTACTAGAAGAGAGATTATTAAGAAAAAGATGAGAATTCAGATCTGAAAAGCCACACCGTAGCTGATAATAGATTTGATCGTATTGTTTTTCAATATTATACATTCTAAAAACGTTTAGTTTTTTTGAGCCAGCAAGTAATTTTTTTTTAAAATACTGAGTTTAGTACAAGTTTGAGTTTCTTTCGTCAACTGATTCCATTGGGTGACAAATCGTGGAAAGAAGGAAAGCTCAAATTTTTTTGATCCGGTGAGTGTTATAAGTTTAGATGATGTTTGTATCTCAGGGCGTAGTTTTTGTTATTCTAAACTTAATTTGCTTTTTAGATATGCGAGACAGAGTCCGTTTAAAATTTTAAATCCATGTATGAGAACGTTATTCTTAAATGATCAATTCATCCTAAGCATTCAAGACTTTTTTGTTTATTGGTTAATTTCTTACAACCGGAGACCAAACATGCATGTTTATACTGTAATATTGATAAAGAATCCATATGTGTGGCATATGTAGAAGAGTAGATGGCTGAACCGTACATAATAATAGGATATGTATAAGACTTATATATTTGATCCAATACTGCTATATGGAAGACTTGTTTAAGTTGACGCATGAGAAATAGGATTTTAGCGCATCGATGCGCTAAAATCTTATTTCTCATGCGTTCATAATAGATCTGTTATGAACATAGGTAATATGTGCTGTCCAATCTAATGTACATGTTAAGATTAGACTCAAATGTTTATGATAGTCAACTTCCATCAGAGCAATGTTATTAATAAATAATTGATTTTGTGTACATATGCTCTTCAGAGGCAAATGACAGATATACTCTTTTAACATTTGTTGTAACAAGCGCCAAAACAAACTAAAACCATGCGCTAGAATGTTGATGATGAATCCCAACTGATCTGAGAATTTCTATTTGTTCATGTAATATTCAAACATCACATATATAATGTTTCGTAAGTTCATTAAAAGAATCTTATTAAAAATCCTATATAACAAATCTTAGCAAAATTTGACAAAAATCTTATGAGTTTCTTATGTCGCCCTCTATAAGAACGTTATCATCACTTTAAGGGCCTCTGACGTGTCTAATTTTTTCGTAAGGTTTCTATAAGTGTCGTATCTGATTTCCGTAGTTTCGATCGATTGGAGTATATGGTAAAGGTTTATTTCCATTTCATAGCATACAAACTTGTGATTATGAAAAAAGGTGTACTTGAGTATATAAAATCCAGACCTGAAGCCGAAATTTTCGTAAGTTTTATTGTTTTTCGTTTATGTTTTCTTGAAATAGCCGAAGAAAGATAAATTGAGGCGTTGATTTAAACGTACATGATACTCAAATAGTGACTAAGAAGTTAACAGATTTATCGTACCCTGATTCGTCAATTCGTCGTCCAAAAACAACAAATGCTAATCAAAAACATCAGCATAATTTGAAAAATTTTATTATTATTTTCTTTGATGCTGATATCGAAAAACAACATGATAGCTTCAAATTGATATCTAAATTACGCCATATTGTTAAGATGCTATTTATATAGGACGAGAGAAAAAAAGCGTGGGACATTATATTCGACAATGTTCAAATGATTTAATATCAATCACTTCTATTCTATGAGTTTAATGGACTTGTAATATATTACCAATCTTTCTCAATCGTTAGTAAGGTGCATTTTGGTAATACTATATTAATGAACTCTTGTTCTATGACTAATAATAATTTTGATAAATTTTGATGGAAAATTTTCAAATGAGGCTAAAACTGTTACACATCCTAGAGGGAAACAGCATTAAACTAACAGGCATTTTTGTTACCAAAGACAAATTATCTTTTTATGAAATAGAATTTTTGTTAGGTTTTGTTGATTGTCTAGATTTCATCCGTTTCTAAAGTAGTGAAACACCAAAGTAACGGATGATCCAAAGAGAATTATGACGTTAGTATTTTCAAGTTTTCTCTTCTTCTTTATAATTAATCGAGCAAATATTTTTACCAAAATATAGTGCGTTCAGGTCTCTAGGAAATATGCCTTGACTGTTTTATTGCAAAATCAAAGGTGGAAAATGAGATAAGAAATCTTATCAAGTACGAAAATTCAGAAAAAATAAGTTAAACAACCGCCTATTACGTTTTATTCGCTAACCGTTTGTGGGAGAAAGAAAGCTGAAGTAGCTATCGTGTAGGGTTGGAAAGCTCTATCTTCCACCTCTGATTAAACATCTTTTACAGTTAGAACTGGGGACGTAAGCGTAACGATTTTTTCTTGAAAATTTTCTAAAAATGATGATTTTTGAACAGAAATTTACATCATTCGATAAAACAGGTATAGTCTAGTCAAACTTGATCCTTTCAGATTGAACTATTTTTCATTTTGAAGACCAATGATTAGTGTACATTGTGAAACCGGTAAGGTTTGAAAAAAAACGTCCTTTGTTATAAAGCGTAGATAAGGCCGAAATTATTTGCTGTTCTCGCGCGGTTCCCGATAAGTCAGTCTTTGCGTCGAATATTCTCACTCAAGACATTTACAGTACTTCAGGTACATTTTTGCTTTTCATTTCTCGTTCATTACTTTTCACCTTTTTTCGGTTGAAAAGTGATTGAGTTAGCAGTAGAAAAATTCTGGAAGACTATTGAATTA